CCATGGCGACTAGAGGAAAATAATAGCCAAGAGAGGAGGGAGTTATGATGTAAAAATCGTTGCCTTGGTAACATTATACACATATAGCATCGCCGATTTTATATTAAGAAAAACAAAGATATAATATGGATTTGTGTAGGACTCCAATAGTAGGAGGATCCGCATCACATGTATATGCAATTACTCTGATATAGTTTATTAGTATTATTTGAGAAGGACGGCGCGTCCATATGGCTGCTTTTGTCACTTACTCCAAATCGCACATTATATTTGTTTAATTGGATTGAGGGGAAAAGAGGACAAAAAGGGGGAAAGGAATGGAAGTCTGTACCCTTTGATCCCTCTTGTTTGGAAGAATCTTTTCCACATTATTTGCAAGATAGGAAGGGTACTTCTTGTCAGGTGTTCCCACTTGAATCTATGATGTTTTCCATTTTTTGGCCCAAACAAGAGAAGATAAGATTAAGAAGAAAAAACAAATACAGCAACCAGTTCAAAAATGAAAATACAACAAACAGTACAAACCAACACTCAACAATCTATGATGTTTTCCAATCTGGCTTAGGACATATATAGTACGTTAAACAACAAAAAAATTAGAGTTATATAGATATGGTTTCCGGTACACCTAAATGCTGTCCTGTGAACCTATTTCATGTTTCTGTATCCCTGATATCTAGCCCTAGCAGCAACTCAACTGACAATTAATTTGGAATTAGTTGCCCAACTGGAAGTGCGCCCCAGTTTCTACATCAAACTCTGCTGGGGTACGGCCCCGCCTTTGCACAATAATTACCCATCCCCAAAGTTTACTTGCTTTAAAAAAGTATTTTTTTTAACTTTTCTTTGTAATAAACATATATTTGTCATAGTTTTATAATATTTTTTATCTTATACCTTGAAAACATAGGGTAAAGATATATTTATTGCATTTTTTATATTTAATTTATATAAAAAATATAAATATTGACTTTAATTTAATTAATTAACCAATTAAAACTATTCATGTGGTAATAGTGTTAAAATAAATGTTAACTTTTTTATTTTTCATGTAAATTAATTATAAAAAAATATATTTATTGCACCTTTAAAGGTATAGGTTAAACAAATCCTAATTTTATATGAAGAAATAAAAAAAATGGCTTTAATTTTAACACTAAATTAGTTGTAACTTTTTTACTTTTCATGTAAATTAGTTGTAAAAAAAAAATATTTATTGCACCTTTAAAAGTATAGGTTAAAAAATCCTAATTTTATATGAAGAAATAAAAAAAAAAGGCATCAATTTTAACACTAATACCACTTACATGAATTTAATTAGATCATTGAAAAATTAAGAGTCAACTTTTATCTTTTTCAATACAAAATTACAACTAAAAAACCCATTAAAAAATATTACAAGAGTTGAACTT